CCCCAAATTCAAAGACCTAATCTAAAATGAGAATCTGCGATGAATATATACTTCTCAGAAGAAGAAATACAAATTGCAAATAAATATATGAAAAAATATTCAGCATCATCTGTCATTTTAGAGATGCAAATCAAAACAACACTGAGATTCCATCTCACCCCAGAAAGAATAGTTATTATCAAGAAACCAACAAATAACAAATACTGGAGGGGCTGTGGGAAAAAAGGAACCATTCTGCACTGTTGATGGAGTTTAGATTGGTGAAAACACCATGGAAATCAGTGTAGAGATTCCTAGGATTAGGAAAGAAAACTAGGATTAGAGGTCCCATTTGATCCAGTTATTCCCTTTCTGGGTATCTTTCCAGAGAATTAAAAACATCATACCACAGTGATATTTATGCATTCATGTTTATAGCAGCACAAATTGTAATAGGTAAATCTTGGAAACAAGCTAAGGAATGGATCAAAAAAGCTGTGGTCTTTTTGTATAATGGAGTACAACTCAGTTATAAAGATAGGTAAACTTGAGATTTTTATAGGTAAGTGGATGGAACTACAGAGCATACTCATAAGTGAAATAAATGAGTCTAACCGGTAAACATTGTATTGTTTCCCTGGTGTGAGGAACTAAAAGATTAAATAAGGTCCAAAATGCACAATAGATATTATGAAATGTGAAGAAATTGTTCATAAGAAAAAGGATCTAATGGGGGAAAATGGAAAAAAATGGAAGAGAAGAGGAAAAAACAAAATGCAAGATAGTTGTACTAATAGTTTCTCTTAATTCATTGAAAAGAAACATTTGTGCTAATATCATTGGAAGAAATTTTATGGCCATATCTTGTACTCTGATTAACTGCTGTAAAGATAGCAATATTCAATTTATTAACTATTATTATTCTCCTATTTTGTTATGAAATTTTAATTTTTTCCCATACAATAAAAATTATCTAAATATTAAAACATAAATACTAAATTTTCTGGAAGATAGTATAGGTAGATCTCTTGAAGACATAAGGGTAGGCAAAGACTTTATGAACAAAATCCATACTGCAAGGGCAATATCGCAAAGAATCAACAACTGGGAACTTATCATATTAAAAATCTTTTCCACAGCAAAAGAATCACCAACAGAGTGAAGAGACAACCCACAGAGTGGGAAAATTTTTTGTTAGCTGTTTCACAGTTAAAGGACTAATATCTAGAATATATAAAGAACTCAAGAAAAGAAGGAAAAATGTAAACAAATGTTTTGTAAATAAGGAGGGAAGAAGAGTTGAAAGGAGGGTAAGGAAATGGGGCAACAAAAGAGGAATTGAGATAAACCATTGTTGGGCCAGGGGTTGAAAGAGGTTTTCAAGGAAAAGAAAGCACACAGAGCAGATATCAACAACAGCAAGCAGCGTTTTTATTGTCCAGTTGGTATATATTAGCTGTTATCAAGGTTTAGTTCTTGTGTACTATCATAACCCTGGCATATGTGATGTCTGCTATGTAACGCTTACATAACTGTAGCCCACTGTGCATTTGTGCCAAACAGCAGGGTCGTGTCCTTACGCATCCTCAAATGCCCTGGCCTGTGAAGCAATTGGCAGTGTCATGTATGAGTACAAAGTCGTTGTGATGAATGTTGTCATTATGTACATACAAAATGTATAAATGTAACAAAAAATTAAGTTAAATCAGACACAGAAGCATAAATATCGCATGGGTTCTCTTACATAAAAACAAATAACTTAGAAAGCAAAATAAGGGGGATGGGGATTTAGCTCAGCGGCATAAGCACCTGCCTTGCAAGCAGGCGGTTGTGAGTTAAATCCCCAGTACCTATAAAAAAAAAAAAAAAAAAAAAAAAAAAGAAAGGAAAATAAGATAACATGAAATAAGGAATATAGATCCTTTGCAAATGGGAGAGAATCTAGTAATGGAGGGAAGGAGAAGGAAGAGAGGACAAGGGGACAGTGAAAATAAAACATACAAGGTACACATACTAACCATATCACAGACAGCAAATATGTAGGAATAAACAGAAAACATTGTATCCGTTGTTAGGTCTGAGAAGAGGAGGATGGGGAAGGAAGGAAGGAGTGGAGAAGGAGAGGAAGGAGTGGGTTGGCCGTGGGAGTGGGTGGTGGTGGCTGCAAAGATAAGAAGTATAAAATATAAGTAACCTTTATTTCGGGAATGTGGGGAGAGACACCCCCCCCCACCCCGGCCCTGGGGCGCAGCATTTCCACCCCGGGGGCCGGCAGTCTCTCTCTGGAACACACTCTCCCTTTTTTCTCTCCGAACGTGGAGTGAGGCCCATAAATAGCCTCTGTCTGGGGTGGGCCCCAAGGGGCATTAGGGATGCACAGGTATTTCATTGGCACACGTTTGGCTCCAGGGACAGGTTCTTAGGGATGGGGGTATAGGGTTACAGGTAAATCTGTAGGGGCGGGGGAGGCAGGAGCTCCCTAACTTGGCTGAGGCTTTTCCTGGTTAAAGTGTCCGGTCTGGGCCAGCAACTCTTTCAATGTATTTATGGGGTACCATGTGATGTTTGATACCTGCATGCATTTAATTTAGGCAATTCTTAATGAAACATGCAAATTTAACTAGAAAAAATTTAACTAAAGAAATATAATCTTGAGCACTGAAAATTACATAGTGTGAGGCTAGTGCTGGAAATACCTTAGTATCATCTTTGATCTTTCTCTCCTTGACTCTGAGGAATTTTTCTCTTTGTGGGTGAAGGAAGGGATTATATTTTTGTTCTTTATATTATCATGGGTTCAGGTTGAGCTGTGCATATCCAAATGTGCAATTCTTTCCCTGTCTTCATGGATAAAAAACGGAGGTCCACAAAGAGAGAAAATGACAATCCATATACTAGAGAGATGAATAGCAGGCACTGACATAGGAGTTTCTCCCCCAGCCCTTGCCTATTATTTTGTACTCCGAGGCTCCACAGATACCACACCAATAGGTGTGTAAGAGAATACAGATATTTCAGAGACTGAGTGAAACAAGCAATTCTGAAGTCTGTGAGAATAGCACTCTGGCAAGATCAATAATGAGTTCCCTAGGTCAGCACCCTTGGGTAATTGCAGGATCACAAAAGACAGGAATTCAAATAAGATAGGGGACACAAAAAGAGGAACAGGGACAGATCTTGGCAATAGTCTTTGCACTTTCAGACCCACACCTAAACTTCTTTTCTTCATTTCCTATCCCACACTCAAGCCCACATCAACCTATCATTTAAGCCCTGCATTTCCTCTTTGAAGAGGAATAATAACAGTGGCCTGGGCACTGAGAAACTTTATGCGGAGCTGTTTCATTTCTTTAAAGGATGGGGGGTTGAACCCGTGGCCTGCATAGCATCCCTGATTTTTTTTTAATGAAGGCCATTTCCTGAAATTACCAAATTGTAAAAGGTAGGCTTCAATTTGTGATCTTCCTGCCTCAGTCTCTCAGATTGCTGTGATTATTAGTCACATCCTAGTTTGTGTCCAAAATGAGGAAAAGACAAGAGTTTAAGTCCATCTTACAGAACATACATTCTAAATACTGGATACATGAATGGGAAGATGTATCACATCCAGGTGTGGACAGCAAGTCACTGCTCTGCTGGAAAAATGCAGCTCCCAGAGACCTCAGTAAAGAACTAAAAAAACCTAGAATTTAAAATAAAAGAAGAAAACTTATTTAAAGGTGGAGAAAAAGAGAGATGACAGATCACTACTCGGGACAAGTAGGGAGTGTTTGAAAGTGAAATACTCAAGTGAATCTTTATCTTCCTTTTATTTAGGACTATTGTCTTTCCCATCCCCCATGAGGGCACCTGAAAGTTGTCTCCTGGCAGTTTTTGATACTTTCTCATGTCTGCCTACATTCCTTCTGACCATTTGATTTCTTCCTGTCCCTTTGTGTTGAGTGTGGCTCATAGAACGGTACCTTAGAGTTAATGATTACGTAAAGGGGACATGTGTACATGTGTATATCTGATGCAGTAATAATGTAGTGATGTTAAAGTGAGAACATACATACAGAGGTATACGTGTAGGTGTGTGTGTGTGTGTGTGTGTGTGTCTTAAATACTAAATAAGAGTCCTTAGATGGCTGCTGCCCATTATCTCCCTTGCATTTTATCAAGTGGGTGAGGGTAGCTGGTATTCCTGGGTCTTTTTTTTTTCTGGCTTCTTCAGTATTCTGGTAACTTTTCTTGATAAATTCTTATGGTAATTATGTTACCTGACACCTCCTGTGCCAGTATAGCTTTTCTCTTCCTCCTTTGTCTGACTGCTCTAACTGCAGATTCTACCTGTAGAGGCAGAAACTGCCTACAGTAGTTTCCTATTAATTTCTTCAATAAAGCTTAATGACATCCTATTTTATCCTCTTACTAGTTTATCAGCCCGTCCTCAAACTGGGAATTTCCGAGTAAATAATTATCAGACATTGGCACAAGGATATGGGCACACCTGCCACATAACCTGCTACTCTCTTCCAGCGTATTCCTGCCATCTGCAGGACAGAATCCACTAAACTCTCACAGAAGTTTTGTGACTGAGAACAAATGTTTTTAAAGGTGCAAAGAGTTACCATGTTAACTTCTGGTTTGTTAGAAATTCCTAAATAGAGATACTTTTTGTGCTTTAGAATGCATCTGTAAAAAGTAGATGCGGATCTACAGCCGCGACTATCAAAACTAAAACACTAAAAGATAAATTATCAATGCTCCGCCCACATCCGAATTTCTAGGTTCATCCCACAAAGCCTTAAACTGTAAACAAGGATTTCTCAGAAGCAGACACGTGTCTATAGCATCTTTCTGGGAGGTGAACACAACCAATCCCATAGGGATAGGGCCTGCGACATCCGACGAAGCCCTGCCTCCCTGCGGCCAGCGGGAGGCCGTGGAGGGTGCTAGGACTTGCAGGATCTACTCCTCCCCCATCGCCCGCCAGGCTTTGGGATCAGCGCTTTTGGGCTCTTTCTGCGCGTGCGCTGTCCCTCCCTCTCTGGCCTTTTCCGCCCGGAAGTTCCGGTCCTTGCGGCTCTTCAAGGCTCCTCCGAGGCGTTTGGGGTTCCTTTCTTGGAGGTAGGTTAGCAGTTGGCACAGGGGCCCCGCGTCAGCTGGTCCTGGGACCCTGAGACGTGGGTGGATTACTGGCAGGGATCTGACGTGCAGACACGAGCCGCGGGCTGGGTGGCCAGGGAGGCGACTTTGCGTGGGTTTCACAGGTGCGGGGCACGGGAGGGCTACTCGGGCTGGGCTTTCATTCAAAGCTTTTATTGCTTTGTTAGAGTCAGTGCTGCCAAAAGGCGGATATGTCCCTCTAGTTGTCAGACTTCGGTTCTAGAAGCTTTGCGAGCGAGCCAGTGCCCGGGTCTGCAGACTGCGGGAGTGGAGAGGTTGTGTTTTTACTCCTGCTCTTTCACTGAAGGATCTGTTACCCCAGGAGACATTTATTTTACTCGTCTGTAACAAGAGCGTAGACAGCCAAGAGCAAATCAGATGGCGACAACTTTCAGGTGCTCTCATGGGGGAATGGAAACGCAGTAAGTCGCTGTTGCATGCTGTCAGATTTCCAAAGAAATTGTTAAGTCTCTGCTCACGGAGTCTTGCAGTTGTATTTGTGGTGTCTCCTTAGCAAGTGACTTTTCTGATCCCCACCTACATCGAGGTGCAGCCTGCCTAACACTCCTGCTTTGAGTTTACAGAAATTTATATAGGAGCTAGTTTCCAGGGACGGTTTTACATAGGAAATTTGGGTACTGGATGGTATTCCTGTATTGTTTGGAGTTGGTGTAGCAAAATTTGGAGGAGGACATCCTACCCAGAAGAATACCTTTCTGGTCTGAATGCCCTCACTGTCGTTTCAGAGCAGAGGCAGAAGAGACTGGGGAAGGAGAAGTCCTAGCTTTGCATGGCCCAAGCAGTTATTGGTCCTGCTGCCCAGAGAGCACAAGATTTGGGTGGCAATACTTCATCTGAAGCTGTCAGCCACTAAGTGCTGTTGGAAGGTTTGAACCAACTATCAGGAGGGAGAGGTGAGCTGGACTGAAGGATAAATCAGAGCCTAGCAGTGTTATTGATTGAGGGGAGCATGAGAGTAGGGTCTGGGTTGGAGTGCCCTATCACACCTGAAAGGATTTATCTGCAGTGCTCGCTAACCTTTTTCCTATTCCTTCCGTCTTTCCCTCCATAGCTAATTTGTCACCAAATTTGACATCTTGAGATGTGTTGATTCCCCCTTTAGCCCCCCTTAACCAATGGTTCTTGGTACTTTAAGAAGGGTTTGCCAGGATTCTTCTGCCTTATATGAAAGACTTTTAAAAATTGAATTTGAGGTGATGTGTTTTGCCTAGGGTAACACAGTTTAAGATAATAGACATCTTCATTTTTAACTAGTGGCATTCATTTTGTCACAATTTAGTCAAAACAGTAGGTTTTTATTTCACTTTTAATATTGATTTTGCAAAACTGAGGTCAGTGTGGCACAAACATTGCTTTAAAATAGCTTACCTGAAACACACATATCTTTTTCATCCCTAGCACTTTATGTTATGTGACCTCAAAGTGTCACTAACACAAGTGGTTTCCAGTTAAAGATTATTAGTCTCTTGTTGAAAATATTAAGTTCTCCAAAAAATAGTGATCTTATTTTACATTACTTAAAATGGGGAAATTAGACTGCGTGGAAATTTTCTTCTATTTTTTTCAAGATTAAGAATGTTCATCTAGTGAAGTCTGTGCATATATTTCAAAATCCAAAATACTCTGAAACATCTCTGGTTGCAAACATTTTTGATAATAGCTAGTCAACCTGTTACAGAGTTTTATGTTTTTAAAGGAAACATGCTAGTAATGGTGGCATATGCCTGTCATCCCAGCACATGAGAGGCTGAGGCAGGAGGATAACCACTAATTTGAAGCCAGTCAGGTCACTTAGTAAGTTCAAGCCCAGCCAGAATAAAAACCAAGAGCCTGTCACAGAAGAAAAAAAAAAAAAAAAACAAAAACAGCAACCCCAAACTACATTTTATGATGAATAAAAACTTAAGACATTCTATTAATGTGCATACATTTGCTTTTTAGTGATTTATGTGGCTTATACTAGGCACCAGCAACCTACGTGAAGTCCACAAAGTTTTGTAATTTTCAATACTTGTGTATGTAGCCATGCAATTCATTTAATTGCATGTTAAGATATTTCATTATACATAGTTTTGTTTAAAATCATTGAGTAATGAGTTCTGGATGAGTACATGTGTCAGCATTTGCTGTGTTAACAGACCACCCAACACATACTGGCAAAAGTACTCAACCATCTTATTTGTTTGAAGTTCTGTGGATTCACATTTAATGGTGGGTTCAGCAGGGAATTTTTATTAGTATTGCTTGGATCATAGATAAGACTTTAGTCATCTGATGTCTTGCCTGAGGCTGGTTGTTTTAAGATGGCTTCACTCACAAGGCCAGCAATTTATGCTAGCTCTTGGCAGGCCTATGTCTCTAGTACGACAGCTCCAAGCTTCTTCATAATTTCGACACAAAAAAGCTAGCATGAGTAAGCAAGTGCTTCTCAAATCTGTGCCTACATTGTATAGACTGTCCCTTGGTAAAGACCAGTATATGGCAGAGTTCAAGTCATTGTCCAAGGGTACTTTATGAGTGTTGAGATGTAGGGAGATACATTGGGAACCATTATTGGGACGGTATAGCACAGGAAATATATACTAAATATATTTTTCATGTGTAATTATGGGTGAAAAGCGTTAGATGTTAACATCGATCTTTTCCATGAAGTTTAGGTGTACAAAAGCAAAGAGTTTGTGGAAACACTTGTGGAGTTTTAGGATGTATGTGTGCATTAATGGGAAAACAATGTATACATTCCAAGTGTATTTCTATAGTGAAAATTCTAACACAAGCACAATGTGTTTTCCTTTTGTTTAAATTATTCAATTACTTTCTTTTTCTTTTCTTTTTTTTTTTTTTTTTTGAGACTGGGTCTTGCTATGCAGTTTGGGCTTGCCTTCAGCTCACTTTGTAGCCAGGCTGGTCTCAAACTCATAATGATCCTCCTGCCTCAGCCTCCTGAGTGCTGGAATTACAGGCGTAAGCCACCATGCCTGGACCTTCAATTATTTCTTTGGGGAATGTTATTGTTGATCATTCTGTGGGTAATCACTATTTTAGTTGACCCCCAAAATGAATTTGTTTCTAACCTCTTATTACCTAGTGGGCTTATGGTTGTATCTTTAGTAGGGACTTTGATGTCCTATTTGAGACTTAAAGGATTGTTGTCCAAAAGGAGCCTCTTTTTTTCTCCACTTTTTTTCTTTTCCAGCTCACATGTAGTGTTTTGAGCTGGAGAATTGAGGACACAGCCACATGCGTTCATTTACGACTCCACTCTGTTCACCTCTAGTCACAGCTATGCTTCCAGAGACTTCTGTACATTTCCAAGAGCAACAAAAATGGAGTAAGTCTCTGGTGAGTTTATTTATTCCTCATTTTGTTTTACATCATATTTAATGAACTTTATGGAGTCCAGGAATTAATGTGAGAAAGTAGAAAACTAAGATTGAGTCTCGGGGCAACCCATTCAGAACCCTTGTGTGTCTCAGGAGCTATTCCTATTCCCTACTCCTAGTCCTCATTCATTTTCCCCAATAAATTTTCCTACTCTTAAAGAAAAACAAAAACAAAACTCAAAACAAATAAATTGAGCCTTGGAGAAGTATACCTAAATAAAATTAGTATAGCAATTTAGCAGATTATAAGACTTTAGAGTCATATAAGTTGAGTGTAGGTTTGTCTCTGGTCTTTCTGATGTCATGGTGAAAGGCAGTCCCCCACGTTCGATGACTCACTGAATCCTGATGATAAGCATGTTGGCCTTTTATGGAATTGGGTGACTTGCTGACACCCAAGTCTGGAACATTGTCTTTACTAATCATATTTAACAGCTCAAAGGAGACTTTTCTGAAGTTGATAAAATAGTGTGGTTCCAGACAGCTTTTGGCCAGTCTGGAAGATTGAGTCATCTTTCTGTCCAGGAATAACTGTGTGTACATTTTCCTCACCTTGTGTGTCTGTAGGGTGTACAGCAAGTTGTGCTAAAAGTTGCATTTTCTGGAAGATTCTGCTGATTGGTACTTTATCCTACTCAGTAGTTACAGTAAAATCCACTGACCAATTGACACTGCCCTTGGTATGCAAAAAGTCTTCATTTTATAGTTCACCTTACCTGTTTTTTTTATTAGTATATATGTGTAGTGCATAATGTTTACATTTTTTGTTGGGAGTTGGTACATGTACATAATACATTCCTCTTTCATCCCCTTTTCTTCCCTTACCTAAATTTGTTACTTATGTTTTTGATATCCAAGAGATAATTGCCAAATCCAATGTCATAAAGTCTCTTCCTTGCTTTTGTCTTAGTTGAACATTTTAAGTAGGTCTAGTTTGTATCACAGCATGAGATGATTGTTATTTATTTGTACAAATTAATAGTCTAAACTTAAATGCTCCATATCTCAAATTAAAGTGTTTTCTTTCATCTCTGATAATTTTAATAGTGCTCTGACTGTGTCAGGCTCTGTTGATTAAGCATGTGACCAAGACCAGCCTCCTTCCAGGGGGAAATTCATTTCCACCTTAAAGCTGGTCTTTTATAAGCTATTCTTGGTTGTCCTTTCAGGGTTGGCTCTAAATGCAAGTTTTATTGGCCTCTTATTATTTGTGCCATGTGTTTTAGAAGGTGGATGATGTGCACTTTCTTTCTTTTCTTTTTTTTTTTTGTCCTTTTCCTTTTTATCGGTACCGGGGGCCGAACTCACAACTGCCTGATTGCAAGGCAGGCGCTTATGCCACTGAGCTAAATCCCCAGCCCCAGCGTGCACTTTCATGTATATACACTGGGAATTATTTTGGATTTAGGGAAATATAAGGATGCCTGTGAACATAATATTAATCTGTAAGTAATTTGCTAACAGCAGTGAGTATCTGAGCTATGTACTGTTGGAAGTATGTTGAGAATCATTCTGTAATCAGGTTGTCAAATGCCTTTACTGCCTTTTTCTCTCATCACAGTTCAGGACTGCTTAACTGGAAAGGTGTCTTTTGTATTTCTGTTTTTTTGTATTTTTATATATGCTGTGTGTTCTTTATGATTTCATGATTGCACTCTTGTGGCCCCTTTTTCCTGAAACATATTCTTCTTTTGGAAGATGTAAACATTTTTGGCTTTTCAGTGAGGCACCACCTGCTAACATAGAAAAGTGTTTTTTTTTTACTTCCTTGTTTCTTTGACTTACCCTGAGCTTGTGTCTAAATTAGCTGAACACATGATTGCAGTCATGTGTGTGTTCTTCATGTCATCATAACAGACTATGTGCTCCTTGGTGGAGAATTCATATCCTGCCTTTATCCTGGAAATGGACACTCCTAAATCTTTGCGGAAAATTACAGGATGGTATGTTTAGTGATTACTAAATCAGTGCTGAGGCAGGATGTTTCTGCTGTGGTTTTCTTTCTCCTACCCTGTAGAGTACAGAACAAGCATGCACGCGCACACACGCACACACACACTCTCTCTCATCTCCCAGTCTTTGTGTTCTCAAGATCCCAGGGCTGATGACTTGAGTGAAGAGAAACATGGCATTTCAGGAGTTAGTATCATTTGAGGACGTGGCTGTGGACTTCAGCTGGGAGGAATGGCAAGACCTGGACGATGCTCAGAGGACCCTATACAGGGATGTGATGCTGGAGACCTACAGCAGCCTGGTGTCCTTGGGTGAGTGGAAATCACAATAACTTCAAGAACAAGTGCTTCCTTCTCCAGAGTATAAAACAGGTAAATGGCTTCATGGCATTTAGGTGTAAGAGTCTAGCCCATGAAGGATGTGTCACTGCTCTCCTACAAAAGGTTCACACTGGCCTCTTCCTGGCACAACTCCTAAAACTATACTGTTGGCTGGCTTGCTTGCCTTTTTTTTTAGGATCTCACTGTATAGTTTAGGCTGACCTTGATCTTGCTATATAGCACAGGCTGGCCTTACAATCTTCACAGCAATCCTTCCGCCTCAGCCTCCTAAGTGCTGGAAGAGCCACTATGCCTGGCAGTCGATTTTCTTCAAAGGCCGTGAAATAGCAGTATGCCAGAAGTCCTGTTTCATTTCCCCCTCACAGGGCACTGCAATCCCAAACCTGAGGTGATCACCAAACTGGAGCAAGGAGTACAGCCATGGATGGGAGAAGAATACCTAAGTCAGACCTTTACAGGTCAGTTGTGTCTGGTGGAGGGGCCCAGGAGGAACAGAGTCCAGTGATGGGGCTGTGTTGGGCCATTTGTGGAGTGTTTCTCCAGCTCCCACAATGAGGCTAAGGGTCAGATACCTATGTTGCTCTTTGCAGAGCTCCTGAAGTCTAGCTCCAGCTCCTCGTAGTTTTCTTAAACTTCCACAACTTCAGGTACTTTCTGGCTCTTAGACTTTTTTCTTAATGACTTTCTATAAATTCCCAGTTGCCCCCCTTTTGTCTTTTCTCAAGGCCTTTTATTATTATTATTATTAATGCATTTACTCATTCTTTCCATCTATGTTAAAATTGGGCAACTCATAGTTGCTAGTGTTTTGTGCTTCTGGTGGTAATAGTAATTAAATATATCTCCTTTTAAAAAGATTATGTTCTTTTCAAAGAGAAAACCCAAACAAATACAAAATCCACCAAAAAATGTATATACACTTTAGGAAAATAAAAACTTGCATAAAATATTTTAATACTAAATTTATTGCAAGACTATGAAATTAATAAAAGTCACTTTTGACCTTTGTAATTATAAGAGGTGCTCAAAGTGGCAGCCTTTAGCTTCCAGACATTTATTGGTATGGCAAACTGCTGCTTGGTAACCTTGGTCTTTGGGATTGCTGTACATGCATTTTCAATTTCTTCTGTAAGTTCTGGCATTGGAGTGGCTTTTCTGTGATATATGACATCTCATAGGGTCTCCCATATGAGGGTAGCACCATCTGTTGAAGAAACATAATACTGTTTTTCTTTTTCTGAATTGTGTATACAGTTTTTGGGCAGACTGTTTATATCCATTGTGAGATAAGAGCCATTAGAATGCTTTACCAGGATGAGATAGAAATGGGGTATTTTAGGAAGGCTTTTAAGGGGAGGCAGTTTTAGAGAGATTGTTGTCTACTTCAGACAGCTTAATTTTGAGGTGACAATATTCCAATTTATTATATAATATGTAGGTAAATTACACAGTCTAAAATAGAGTGTATATCATTGATAGATACACAACTTTGGAAATCAATAGTAGCCTTGAGAGAAGAGATTTAGGTGTCAGACACATGTCAGAACATCAGAGTTAGGGTTCCAGGGAGAACCCTCCACCATTTTCCATTAACAGGGCGCTGCACCCCCAGCCCAGAGGAGACCAGAAAACTGGAGCAGGGAACACAGCCATGGATGGGAGAACACTCAAGCCAGACCCTTACAGGTCAGTTGTGTCCTGGGAAGTGGGTAGGTGGGAAGAGCCTATCTGATGGGGTTGTGCTGGACTATTCTCAGAAGTCTGTTTCCCAGTTCCCATAGTCCTGAACTCTGTGTTGAGGGGCTCAGATTCCTATGTAGGAGTGGAGTTTGTAGTTAGAATTTTCTCTTTTTTGTGGACATCATTCTAAAACAACAAAGAGAGCAAAGAATGTACAGGAGACTTCATTTTCTGTGAAACAGTGAGGCAGATGAAGTGCTATTTCATACAACAAAAGCTTCAGAAGGAACTTATCATCAAGCAGGGCTGCAGCAGGACTTGGGGGAAAAAGGCTGGCTAGTTGGGATGATGGGCACAATCCAGGCACAATCCAGGATGGAGTGGCCAGGTGTTGGACTGGTGTTAGGGTTTCAAGCATCAAAGGATATCAGGTTAAGTTTGGAATTTGGAGAACTTTCTTTTTTTATTTAAGATGGAAAAGAAGAAAGTTGAAATTTCCTATAGAACTCTATAGCCATTATCTAGGGAGCAGTGAAGACTAAACAAATGTAGGTATAGATCCCTGCTCCCAGGAAACATTTGTGCTCAGGTGCAAGGCAAGAAAGTGGTTCTATTACGCATCTAACTGTAGCTGATCCTAAGAGATCTTACCATCTTCAAAACTAAAGGATGAGAAGAGAAGCAGTACAAAATCCCTGCAACTAATAAGGAAAAAAAATTTTAAAAGAACAAGAAAAACAAATGGCAGATGAACAGCAATGACTTTTAAACTACAACCAGGGCTGGGCATGGTAGCACATGCTTATAATCCCAGCAATTGGGAAGCTGGGATTATAGGCAGGAGGATCACTGCAATTTTGAGGCCAGTCTGGGCTACACAGTAAGTTCAAGACCAGCCTGAACTGCGTAGTGAGATATTAAAAGAAAAAAATGTTTTAAGCAGAGAAAAACACAATATTTTAAAACCCATTAAATTGCTCGTTACATTAATTTTAGGGGAAAAAGCATATACATTCCTTAAACCTATACCTGTTACTGAAGTTTTAGCATTTTTAGCCAGTAGGATAGGAAGAAACTTCTTTACCTTTACACAAGCATTCTATAAGAAATGCTTAATGTGGTTCAAGAGTGTGTTTGTCATTATTAATCATTTTAGATGGCCTGAAAGTGGAAGACCTGGGTGAGACCAGCCAGGACAGTCCAGACAGACATCTGTGGCAAGTTGTGATCACCAACAGCAGTACAGCAGAGGAGAGAGTTGGATTAGAAAGTGAATTCAATTTGAGCTCAAACCGTATTTCAAAGCTGGTTATAAATAATGAGAACTACTTAGGAATGAGGACTGAAGAGTTTATTGTATATCAAAATATGCTCTTTCCTAGTGTACTTGATGAGATGCCTGCTGGAACAAGACCTGATACCCATGGTACAGTTAGGAATGGGTGGCAGGATTTTCAATATAGTGGAGAAATGAAGGCTGTCAATACAGAGGCAATATTCTTCATACATCAGCGGTTGTGTGTGGGAGAGTCCTCCTGTGAATATAGTGAACATAGGCAAGCCTGTGATAAATCAGCTGTCATTGTCCGAAAGATAACTCAAGGAGGGAGGAAAATGCTTGATTGTAGTATATGCGGGAAGATATTCTATTCAAATCCTTTACTCACTAAATATCAGAGAATGAACACAGGAGAGAAACCCCACATATGTATTAACTGTGAGAAATTTTTCATTAAGGAAGCATACCTTACAACTAACCAGAAGAAAATCGCAGAAGAGAAGCCCTACAACACATGTATGGATTCTTTCTACCAGAAGTCAGACCTCATTTCACAACCTCGAACTCACACAGGAGAGAAACCCTATGTGTGTAGTGAATGCAGAAAATCTTTCTACCGCAAGTCAGACCTCACTGTACATCAGAGAACTCACACAGGAGAGAAGCCCTATGAATGTAATGAGTGTAGGAAATCTTTCAACCAGAAGTCAAACCTCAGCAGGCATCAGAGGACTCACACAGGAGAGAAACCTTATGAGTGTAATAAATGTGGGAAATCTTTCAACCAGAAGTCAGACCTCATTTTACACCTGAGAATTCACACAGGAGAGAAACCCTATGAATGTAATGAGTGTAGGAAATCTTTCTACAAGAAGTCAGACCTCACTGTACATCAGAGAATGCACACAGGAGAGAAACCCTATGAATGTAAAGAATGTAGGAAAACTTTCTATCAGAAATCAAAACTTACTGTGCATCAGAGAACACACACGGGAGACAAACCCTATGAATGTAATGAATGTGGGAAATCTTTTTATCAGAAGTCAGACCTCACTGTACATCAGCGAACACACACAGGAGAGAAACCCTATGAGTGTAATAAATGTAGAAAATCTTTCTATCAGAAATCAGTGCTTACTGTGCACCAGAGAACTCACACAGGAGAGAAACCTTACGAATGTCATGAATGTAGGAAAACTTTTTGCCAGAAATCACATCTCAGCAGGCATCAGAGAACTCACACAAGGTAGATACCTTGTGAGCAATGAAAAGAGGAAATTGTTTAACTAGAAGCCATCCATTCATCAAAAAAACCTAGGCAGGAGAAAGACCGTATGTGTGTAAGAAAACGTTTTATTAGCCATGACCTCTCAGTAAACCTGAGAAATTACATAAAGGTAGCTGTATTCCCAAATTCTCTCTTTTTTATTTTTTCCCTTGGTTAGACTGGTCCACATTACTTGGTTTCCCATCATTGTGGGAGGACCATGTGCCTGGACACTGTTGGGGGATTTATAGACCTAGTGATAGACATTACTTCCTGGTGTGGCAGTGGCCATGAGGTATCTCTGGATTGAGTCTTGTGCCCTGTGGGGCTGAATCCAAATGATCCCCAGGTGGCCCTGGGAGTATTAGTGGGAGAAAGCTGTCTTGGTGTGAGATGAAGAATTGACTATGGGGAGTAGAGGTCTTCCCATCTCTAACCCAGAGTTTCCTTGGTTTCCTCATTACCTTGCCTTAGTGAGGAAGTCATGCTCTGTTGTGCTGTTGTATTTTAGCTCTTCACATTATAACACAGAAAGCCCACTGTTGCCAGTTCAACTTTTGAATGACTGATTTTTCTTGTGCGTCAGAAAATTTACACAAGGGCAGCCTACGTTGTGATCTTTCCTCCAGTTGGTTTATGGAAAAAAAAAAAAACTGGGGAGAAGTGAACTTGGGGACTCTTAGCTAGGGACAGGTTGTTAAATATGAAGAGTAAATTTTTATAAATGCCATCAGTTTTCAAGAGAAAGTATAACATTTTTATATGTCAGAGTTTGTAATAAACAGTCAAAATTTGTATTGTGGACAAAACATTTCAAATAGAATTGTTAAATGTGTTATTGAACATACAAAATGTAGTTGATATCACAGCGGGATTCTGTTCTGCTGTAGCCTCTTGAAGACACTGGTGTGCCAGAGACATTGGTGATTGTCATAGCCCAGGGGTGTGGTCCTAGCTTCTGGTGAGTAGACGATAGAAAGGTGCTAGGAGGTAGAACTCAGGCCCTGTGTATACAGGATGTGCATGTGGGTGCTCTGTGCCAGCAGATCTCTTTATGTAATTGAACCTCCTGGAAATGGTATGGAAAATGTGTACCTTTAGCTTGCACACTGATTTTCAATATCAAGAGCTGCTCTTCATCTTAGTTTGTTAAACATATTAGGTCTAAACTCTAAAGAATTGTACTATACTTTCCCCAACACTTCTAGTATATGTAAATTCCTTGACCATCGTTACTAAACTGTCTCTTTTGTGAAGACTGTTTCATCTTGAACTTGACTTCTTACATAGGGTAGCCACAGGCTAATAGAAACAGGCTTTACATAGAAACATGCAATTCAGGCTCTCAGTTGTTAATATTTTAATCCTCAGTTCATTTAAATAGCTCTGAATAACAGCATTCACTTCTTTCAGGTCAGTAGAAGGCAGTTACTAGAATGAAATAGCCTCTTCACACTCTCTTTCGTGGGGGGTAGTATTTGAGATAGGTTCTTGCTGTGTAGTTGAAGGTGACCTTGATCTCACTATGTGGCCCAGGCTGACCTTGAACTCACAATGATCCTTATGCCTCTGGCTCCCTTTCTCTTTTGTCCCTGTGTCCTACATAGGTTGAGTTTGTGTTACCAAGTACATTGTAGCTGAGGGGTCGCAAATCCTCTCTAGTGTCTTAGAGGCTGTCGTCAGGGTTAGTAGCTCAGTTGGAGAGCACTGTTCCCCCAAGCTCATTCAGGTTGCCAGAATTTCCTTGCAATGTCTGGCTGAGGGCAATAACCTCAGAGGCAGGGCACAGGGCTGTTGCTTCCTCAAGGCCAGTGTGGGATTTCACTCCAGTGTGGTAGGACAGCCTCTGTTTGCAGTGCTCAGGATCACAGTGGGGTCCTTGCATATACTTGTCAGGAGCTACATCTATGGTAGGATTGTCCTAAACCCATGATTAAGGATGATTAGAGCCACGTCCCATGTCCCATCTCCAGAGCACAGAGTCATGTGAGGGCATGTCCACCACATTAGATAGGAGTCCTTTGGTTTTAGGGGAGTGAGGTTGTAGATTTTTAGTTTTTGTAGAAGTGACTTGTTAGAGAATTTGTAACAGTTACTTATAAATACTACACACTGTAGATACAGTGTAGAATCACTAGCTGTAAGAAATTGCTCTGAAGATCACCATCCTGCATCCTTCCTGGTCCCTAGTCCCAAAGTTCAGCTCCTTTGAGGTAATGTCTTGTGTATGGATAAAAGTTCTGTGCTGTGGCCTGGCTTTAGATCTTCGTGTTCTGTGAACTGTTAAGTGTAAATGTTGCTGAGGTTCATCTTGGTGTCTCTGGTTGGTTGTATGATGAGATATGTGTGCTATCTGTCACAAGAGTAAATCAGCCATAAGTCTGATTGCTGATTTAGTCCTAGTCCATTCCGTGTATCTGCTCAGGCTACCTTGACAAAATGCCAGTTTCAGTTTTGAAATCATTTATTTTCTCACTGTTCTGTAGGCTGGATGTGCAAGGTCAAGGGACTTACAGGTTTGTCTCTGGCAAAGTGATTCTTCCTGAGCTAAAATATTAGGACTTCATCCCATGATCTTATTTGACCTTAAATACCTTCTAAACATTATGTTTGGAGCTGTATTTCCAAACATAACTTCCTTGAAAGTTAGGGCTTTCTCATGTGAATTTTAGAAAGAAACATTCCATGTATATCACCCAGTGATTTGAAATGTCATCTTTATATATAGTAAGTTACTATTTGGAGTGGCTGTGTTTGTCTATTCAGCATTTCTTTATTGTGTTTTCCTAGTCACAGGCCAACTGTGGGACTGTGGGGGCCACTGCATGACACATGTTTTGTTCTGAGTGTAGAGTGAGTCTCCTGTGCCTCTGAGAATACTGTACTCACAGTGCCAGGGCTCTGGCTGGAGCTACCGCACTGCCAGGGTCTGCGTCTAGTAATGAGGGAGGCTGTGGTACAGTGTCCTGAAGACTAAGGTCCTGACGCCTACAGCATAAGCCTTTTCCTGAAGTAGACACTGGCAGCATGCTTTTTCTGTTGTTTCTTTGTTCTGCTTGTTCTGCTTGCATAGGGGCAGTGGGTTGCTTCTGGTTGCTGTTGGATCCTGACTTAGCTGAATTTCTCCTATGTCTAATCTTTTGGGTTTCACTGAACAATCTGTAGATACTTGTGCACCAAGAAGATACTATCTAAAATTATATTTGCCTGATGTTCCTTTTAATACATTGCAGGACAATTTTTTGTCATCTCTCCCCCCCCCCCCCCGGCTGACTGCCCCACATCAATTCTTATTTTTATTTAAAATCTGTTTACCTCCCATTCCACACTCACAGTGCCTTCTGCATCTGGCTGGGCTTTTACATAACTGAGACCCAAGCAAGAACTCACTGGAGGCGGCACTGTGTTCACTATGTTCAGGCAGTGATGGCTGTCACCTCCTCCAGAGAATTGTTCCATCCAGGATCAAGTCCTTGCAGTTTGCACTTCAGGACTCCAGGTGCCTAGGAGTTGTGTTTTGTATGAGAAAGGGGAAACCTAAGGCTACTGTTCTGTCCCCACACTCCTCATGAATGTGCAGGGCAGGGACTGGACACCAGGATTATCTGCAGAGAACAGGGACTTGCTCTCACCCTTGTCCACCCAAGTGAACCTGGGGTGCTTAAAATGTGTATGGATGAGTGCTTTCCCTGCCTGGCATGCTTGAGGTGCACTGCAGACTCAACCACGGCAGATGCTGCTCTTTTCCAAATACTTTCTTCCCTTGCTTTTTCCCAAAGGAGTTTTAGAAACGATTATAGAAAAATTTAAGCATAAAGCCAAAATAATGATGTGATGAGCCATCATACATCCAATATTAAGCCTTGACAGTGACCAGTTTGTGGCCATTCTCTCTATTTAAAAATTTATATCCCTTCTCTGCACAATGGATGATTTTCATACTGATTCATTTGGTTGATAAATACTTTCAACTGTAATTTTTAATGACTTTTTACAAAGCATAATCATGCCACTACCTGCTAAAAAAAAAACCCAAATTTCCCATAGAAGTATGTACTTATATACACATCTGTGATTATTCCAGTCATTTTATTCAAATTAGGATTCAAATGAAGTGCACACATTGTGCATGCTGCTGTGTCTTCAGCATATCTTAGTTTATAGATTGTCCTTCCATTTTTTTGTCCAGAAATGTTTTTCATTTGAGCCCTTCCCCTAGCACAGTGTCATAGCAGCTTACTGCTGAGCATGTCGAACCCACTGTAACATGATGCTGGTTGTACAGTTAACAGAGCACACACACTGACAGTTTTTTCCTTTCAGATAGTCTAAGCAACAAGTTCTGGCATGAGGTCACTTGCAGTGACCTTCTAGGCCTTGCAGTGCTGTTCCATGTGACTGTCATGGAGTTCTAGGCACTTCTTAATCACAGTTTATTTTTCTAAACTTTTAGAGAACATTCCAGAGTAAGGATCTTCACAGGGAGAGGATAGGAACATCTGGACCTCCCTAATCAGGGGTTACTGTGATGACTAATACAATTAACACTGAGTTACCAACATGACTTGCTGAATGATAGGCACACTGAGAAAGGCAGATCTGTTTTTGTTGATGAACTGAGGGATGGCCAGGGAGGGCACAGCCAACTAGCCAAGGCCCCAGACCCAAAATATTTGCTGGGGCAGCAGAAAAGACCCTCACCTCCAGTAGTGGTGTGAGTGTGACTATAAAAGCACCTCAAGATCTGAGGAGAAAAGCCAAGAGATGGCTTACACCACAGTCTGAGACAGAAGCCTTATTGAACATCAAGACAACAGGGAGCTCCATCAGGGATGCTTTTACCTAACAACTGCATTAAGCAGGAGGGTAAAGAAACAGTCAACACATTTGGTAATGTGTTATACTTACTACAAACATTAAGTGAATCACCAGGAAGGTATCTGCCAACTTCAAGGTCCTACTGTGTCTGTCATTTTCACTGAGGTGTAACACTAGAATTGTCATGAATCAAGAATGACCTGGCCTTCCCCCTTCTTGGGAAAGCAAAAGAGGTTCTGCAAAACGGATTTTTTTGTGCCTCTTTATAATCCAAGCTCTGGGTCACATCAGAATCTAGTAAGGGTTTAGTAGATGGATGGTACCAGCTGCACTAACAGCTTCTGCTGTCTACATTCTTTGTGCAGGTCTTTGGAAATTTTACTGAATGTTATCCTGTTTCCTTTACTTTTAACCCCCCCCATCTCAATAAACTACTTTTTTTTTTTTAAATCAGGGAGTTTCTTAAACTGAAATTAGTACTTTCTGTCTAAACAATTTAGATAGTCTGGTAATAAGTAAAAGTTCTCTTCAAGACAGTGAGTTTCATGTTAAATGTTATTATTATAATATGAAAACAAACATTTAACGTGTTGTCTTCATACTCCATACCTCCACACCCCTGATACTTACTAAGTAGCATGCCCATGTGGAATCCAGGCCATTCTCTCCTCACCCAAGATCTTGGATGGAAAGGGTCCCACTAATCCTCACCAAAAAGACTTTCATAAAAAGCATCTATTCTGTCAAGGCAGAGACATTTTTTCTTTTTGTCATAGAGAACAGATAAACTCATCCATAATTCTTTGCAAAAGTGAGTTATTTGTAGCTTCTCTTCCACACATTGCTCAAAAAGCATATCACCTTAAACCCTGTGGCATCAGGCATTATATGTCCAGGGTTGGTCCTCAGGGAGTGGTAGGCTGGTTTCTCTCACACCCTGCTGCTTCTAAGAACTACAACCTCTGACCTCTGCACTCCATTCCATTCTGATAATACATCTTCGCCAGTTTAACAGTTACTCTATTCTGGGCACTTAGATTGCTTCTGACTTTTCATTAATATTGATAGTGCTATAGTCACAATCCTTCTGACTAAAGCTTTTCTATTTGAAACAAAAATTTCATAAAACAATATTTAAGTCTTACCTAAGAGTAAGTATTCACCAGGATTTTCAGTTCTACTTGTTCTGGAGCAACCTGGGCCCAATGTCTGAGAACTACCCCCAAGGTGCCAGCCCCAGGGTACCATGAGACTAAAGAGAGAGGCAGACTCTGGGATCACACAGTGCTAGTGGTAGCCCAGTCCTGGGTAGCAGCAGCACCAGAGGTTCCTGCAGCGTGGGTCAAGAGAGACACATACACTGGTCGGGACAAAAGTGACTTAATCGAGGCTTGATGCACCAGGTCATCATCATTGGAGAGTCAGGCTCATCTCTGGTACTGGGTCTTGAGGTAAAGCCCCACACATGACTCTAATGGTTTGGTCCATTTAGTTTGCTGGGAAACCATAAAGATGCACACACCCTACCATCCATCCCCTTACTTTGGTTGTGCCCAAACTGGCTGTGGCTTGTAGAGCTTCCTCCCCAAATTATTCTTTAGTGTCTTAGCCATTAGATTGATTTTCTACCCCACTAAGATATGGCAGCCATGCATCTACATCTGAAAAATAGGACTGCAGCTGTGCTGCATCAGCTATGTTAGTCTGGAAGGAGGTGAATCAGAAGCCAATTTGCCCAAGGCAGAGGTTGTATGATTTATTTCACTGTTATTTTACTTAGGAAAAAAGGAAAGAGGAAGAAAGTACCCTATGAAAAGAAGTAGCTTTGGCTTACTTGGGAAGATGGGGGTGCTTCCTTACCTGTGTGTTGCAGCCCTGATTAGAGACACTGTCAGCTTAGTCTTGTGTTGGCCATAGGATGGTCCATGGATAAGCACCCTGTGTCTCCCTGGGAAGCCCATGCGAGGTGCACTTCTTGCCGAGAGCAGGTACTGCTTCCCTGCTTGGGGCCCAAATGCTTCTGGGAGTGGCCAGAGACTTCTCACAACAACTTCTGAACCACACAGCAGATGTCCTTGCAGTCCAGCTCTTGTGAAACATCTGTTCTGGACACTCCAGATGGCCTTCCACTCCCTGGGATGGAGAGCGGGTATCAAGGGCCCTGCACCTCCTCTTACAACTAGGTCGTGGCTCAAATGACCATTTTAAAGATCTAAATAAAATAAGACATTGAGCTTTGAGTGTGTTTTTTGTGTGACTTACGAAATAATTTCATTAAAAATTTATAACCCAAATGTTACACTGGATTCAGTGAACATATATATGTGTATAAATTAGATTTCTACACATTAAAGTATTACATAAACCATTTCAGAACATCACTATAGGTGATCAAGTGTATGTTAAAGAGTTTTTAAGGATTCTTTTCTTGATTTCCAAGTTTCTATAGTGAGCACGTCAATGTTGTAAATACAGGTAAGAGGCAAATAAGAGATTTTTGTATTTTATCCCCACATATGAATGGGACCATAATTTAAGTTTCTCCCCTACTAGCAAGTTTACTGTTGCTGGTATGCTTTTATCTTCCATATAGTCTGAGTTTCAGACTGTTTTTCTAAACTATTTTCCTAGAAGTAGAGATTTAGGGTTGAAGTATTTCAACATCTTATGGTCCCAGGCACATTCTGAACAGCAACTTCTGACATCAGTTACAGTCCACCAGTACTGGCCAGATGTCATCAGCACAGGCAAGGTTAGCTTCTAAAAGCCCTTGACTAAGCTCCCTGGCCAAACCATATCAAATTTTAAAATTCATTTTACTTCCCTTGAGAATATTTTTCAGCACTCTGACAGTGAAAGCATCTGGTTTTGTCTGCAGAGCTAATGCAATGTGTTAGCACCATACCGTCTCCTTACAGACTGGGGACAAAGGCTCTGCACACATGAGGTACACACAGGGATCTATGGGGGCGAGTGCCTCCGTTTGTTGCCATACCAGCGCAGAATGCTGCTCTCCAGGTCTTGCTCCCTGGGCAGGGCTACCCAGAGGGGTAAGACTCCTTACCAACCACCCTTCCCGCCCTCACAGACTCCCTAGAGACCTATCTACTCCAATTGCAAAGCTCTGGCTCTGTGGTTCTGTCTGGCAGAACACAGCCTTGTGTGGGATATCATCTAATACCATTAAAGGAAGTAGGACTTGTGGAAACCAAAGCAGGAAAAATGAGGTATCAGTGAAGATGCAGCCACAGGTGCCCGTGGGAGGTACAGACTTGGGCATTGCAACCTTTAAAAGACTAGAAACCTCTCTGCCATGGATGGGGTGTTCCTGCACTGGCCACAGCTGGTCATGGAGCTGCCCTTGGATCCCATTGGGAAGTTCCTAGGGCCTGGTCTCATCTCCTGGAGGGCTATCCTAAGTTGGGTTAGTGGAAAAGCAGATACACTGTGGTTTGTGTCCCTTGGTCCTGTCTGCCTGGCCTCCACTGCTAGTGCCAGGGGAAGAAATGGTTAAATTTATAAATTTCATCTTACAAGGTTCATCCCACAGTAAATCAGAACAAAACTGAGCAATAAAAAAATATAAATAAATGAAAAGGGGTCTACAAATTCATATCAGGCCTAGCAAATGTGGTTGGGGACAGCATTCACCTCTTGGACTCCAAAGACTCATATGCTCGTTCTAATATTTACTGTTTTGGTGTATTTCCCTGAAAGTGTGCCAGTGCCACTGGAAATAATAACTTACAGAATATCTCATTCCTGTTCTTGTTGACCAGTACAACTGTGACAGTTTGCTGTTGTCCTCCTTTTATCCATAAAACCAGACCCCTTGGACTCCATATTGGGAACAAATTCTAGGCAATGAAACTTGTTTTCCCAGGTGGTCGTCACTGTGGTTCCTTACACTCTTGTTTCTCATACTCAGTACACTTCAGTGTACTTTGCAGATTAACAAGACAAACGCAAAACAACCCAGAGGAAAATTTGCATAGCTCCCACCAGGCTAGTCACTGTTACTGTCCAAGGCCAAGGTCTCCCAGGTACTCAGCCTCAAACTGACTTTTTAAAAACTTGTTTCATGTTCTTTCTGCCTCCTTCTTCCCTATCTTATAAAATTCTCTTCGTTTGGTAAGAGCCGTTCTGTCTAGGGAGGGAGGAGCTGAGCCCCGCTTGGGACTAGCAGGTACACGTATGACCAAATCCCTGTAGATCTGCAAATTCCTGCCCTTGACCAGATTGTGCAGTCCCTGTTGCTGAAAGAGCAAAGGGTCTCAATTCACTCCCCCAGGGATTATGCCAGGGCCCGTGAAGGACAGAAAATATTACCTCTACTTTCTGAGGGCTTCATATTTGAGGCTATGCAAAAAAGTCGCAGTAAACAATAGGAGCAAAGGAGTAAAAATGTATTCTGTATATGAGGGCAACAAAGAAAAAATATGACTACTATATGTTTAGGGAAGGGGTTATTCTGTTAAGAACTCTCACCTGCCCTAGTACCTGGAAACTCCCCAGAAGTTCCCCATCAGCTGCTGAACATCATCTGTGCCCTAAGCACAAAGCCCACAAGGGGAAGGTTCCTGCCAGTCACTTCAGCCTTCCCACTTTGCCTCAGTAGGAAGCTCCAACAACTTCCTCTGCCTGATGTGTAGTCCCTCCTTTCCTATCCATAATGGTTTCCTTTCCATGATGGTTGTAGTAGTTTGCACTACCAACAACAAAACACCACAGCCATATCAGCATTGTTATTATTTGATTTCTTAGTGATTGCCATTCTTTCTGGAGTAGGATGGATTTTTTTTTACACAGGTCTTATTATGTCATCCATTCTGGCCTTGAACTCACTATGTAGCCTAGAGTGGCCTCAAAATCACAGTAATTCTTCTGTTTCAGCCTCCAAAGTGCATTATAGGTGTGTGCCGCCATGACTTACTGTAAGATGGAATTTTAGCAGTTTTAATTTGCATGTATCTAATGGTCAGAGATGTTGAACATTTATTCAAATATTTGTTGATCAATTTGTATTTTTTTCTCTGAAGTGCCTGTTCATTTCTCTTGCCTGTTTCTTGACTGGGTCTTTAATTTTAGATAATTAGTTTTCTCTGAGTTGTCTCTTCTAGATATTAGTCCTCTGTGAAATAGCTGGCAATTTTTCTCCATTTTGTAGATTGTCTCTTCACTCTACTGATTAATTCTTTTGCTGTATAGAGGCTTTTTAATATGATATAATCCTATTTATTGATAATTGCCACTATTTGTTGTACAATTGAGGTTCTGTATAGAAAATCCTTTCTTATGCTGTTTTAGCTTTTTATCTTTGTTTAATGTTTCTGTTTTATGTATTTATTATTGAGTTTATTGGTACATTTTATATATACATCATAATCACATCTATCATAGGAAATTTATATCTGTACATGATATATATTAATTTTTTCAAATTGCCCTATCCTCCCTTCAACCTATGTCTCCTCCTTATTTACAAAAGCTTTGTATTGGCCCACTCAGGGAGCCCACACAGTGTTTCATGAGTGAGGTCCACATGTTAAAGAAGACATGAATGCAAGACATCAGCAACAACAGGCAGCATAAAACAGAGCAGAGCATAAGATCACAAAAGCAAAGAGTACACAAGTTGCCTGCATCTTTACAATAGTTCTTATTATTTTAGTTTGCAAAAGAATAAAACCAAATAAAATAAAGTAGAATAAAGCCAATCAAAACAAAACAGTGGAAGTTATACAGGAAGGACTTCAAAATAAAGTATTATGAAATCAACAATGGCTACCATAATGCTTTTTGTTAGCTTCAAAATAGCTGCCCATACCTTCAGACATAAAATCAAACAAACAGAACAGAATAAAAATTAAAACAAAACAATGAAAGTGATACAGGACCTCAAAATAAGATAATAAATCAACAATTGGTACTACCTTCAAAGGAAATCCCATTATTGCTATCTTGCATATTGTTATACTCTAAATAGATGCTCAGACTACTGGCTTTAGGGCCTCAGAGTCAATCAAACAGTACAGGTATAAAGCTTTTTTTTTTTTTTTTTTACTTCAATGGCTACCATCTCTGCCTGTGTTTCTCCAAATCAGCTGGTTGCTTATGGCAGGTGGGGGTGGGTCAGTACTTCTTGTCTCCCAGCCTGTGCACCAGCTGGCTAACAGGAAGGGGTTGGCTTCTTCTTGATTCTCTTCCTAGGATGCATGGCCACTTCTGGCTCACAGGAAGGAGCTGGCCCAGCCCATGACTACCAGTGGCTCACAGGAAGGGTTCTTGGTTCTCTTCCTGGGACAAATGACTGCTACTGGCTCATAGAAAGGGGTTGGTTTGGCCCCTATAGTATAACTCTTGTACAGGTTGTTACCTCTTATTTACATTCCTACCTAGTGCAATAACTAGCACATGCGGGTTTACCTGTGCTAAGACATGGTTGCATAACTATCTTGCTGTGTGCCTGTGCTAGCAAAGTGTGGTCATGTCTTCAGGTACCCTTACATGCCCCTGAGCTTTGAAGCATTCTAAGTAGTTCCCCACACTTTGCTTCTATTTTTCTTTCCTTTTTAATTTTTCCTTTCTTCCTCACCCCCTAACTCCTCCCTGTTCTCCTCAATTGAGCATATTCTTCCTATTTCATAATATGTAGTGTTAGTCACTTTAATCTCATTGCTAACATTCCACCCCACCCTCAAAAGATTCATGCACATCCCTTTATACAAAAGACATTTAGTACATCTCCAAGAGTTGCCAAAGTCCTAACAGTTTCAGCATTGCTGAAAAGTTCAATTCCCAAGCCGTCTCTAAGATTCAAGGCAAACTCTTAGTTATGAATCCCCTGTACAAATGAAAAGAAACTTAAACACTTCCAGCATTCAATGACAGAAATTAGACATTTCCATTTCACAGTTTACAAACAGGAATACAAAGGAGTGGGACTTACAAAGTAAGTCCAAGATCCAGGAGAGTAAACATTAAGTCCTGTAGTTCTACATGCAGCATCCAAGGCAACCTGTGAATAGTTGTGAACTCCAAATGGCTTGTGTGACTCTTTCCCTATGGCACTTGTAATGGTTATAGTTCCCACGATTTCTCCACTGCACGTTTGAGTTGACATTCACAGTTTCACACACTGCCTGGCCTCCCAGACACTCTAAAATCTCAGTGGAAGCCTATCTAACACCACAACTTTTGCATTGTGTATGAGCCTAAAACAAGTGCCATGTGGTTGATGCTAAGGTCTGCTGCTAACTGGAGCAGTAGCCGCGCTTTCTTCTCTCTTAGAGGAATTGAGTGACTTGATTTTGAGGAACAAACTCTCTATTGCTGCCAACCTTCTGGAATCTGGTGCAGCTGCTGCCAACATTTTGGAACTTGATGTGTCCTCTACTGCCATTCTGTAACGTAATTTGGCTGCCACCATTCTGGAATATGGTGTTCTGTGGCTTTCTCCTCAAAGCAAAGTCTTTCAGTTTTGTTATTTGGAGGCTGTAAAGGGTAGAGATATGCTGCTTCCTGTAATGTCTTCAGGCCATCTTTTCTATTGTCCCTATCCTTTGCAGCAATTGAGATGTCCAGTGCTCTATTTTTGCATTCCACAGCTTTCCTGGAGCTTTTTTTCTGGCCAGATTCATCCTGCTGGACTCCTTGCTCTTGATTCTCAACATAGATCTGGCTAAAAGCCCCAACCAGCAGCCATGTTACAACCTCAATATTCAACTCCCTTGAAATTTCTTTTGCCAGATTAATTAGTCATGTTGGGAGACCACTACCCAGTGGCTCTGAGCAGGATTTAAAATTAAATAGTTGGCTTTCTGTGTTTATCTGTGAGTCTGTCCAAGGCTTCGGCCCCTTGCCTGGCAACGGGAGCTGATTCATAGTAAGTGAACCTCTATGAATCACTGATCCTGGCTGAGGCCTGTAGTGGCCTGTAAGGCCAGAGTGCCAGAGATCTTTAAAGAGCAATATAAGGCCACAGCTGAAGATACCTTGGCTCCAATACTAAGTAAATAGAGACTGCACCTGAAGGAATTTCACTCCTGTAATTGCACTCCTACCATAAATGTCATCCTGTAGAAAAGATGGGTCTCCTCAGTTGGCATCATTTACTACTTGGAGAAGTCTTTGAAATGATCCCAAGGTCCTGCTCATTTCCTGTGCTTTCCTCAGTTTCTCCGCCCTTTGTTGTTGGACCTAATAAAATTGGGTGTTCCAGAGAAGTCTTAGCCCTTAGAGTCTTGAGCTCACCTCAAGGATTTTGAGCCTCCTGGAGCCCTAAAATCATGCCACTTGTCTCATTTTATTTAAGTCTCTGCTGTACACTCATTTGGGAGATCAGGGATCTACGTTAGGATAGAGTAAGTCAATAAGTGCTTCCCTTAATCTCAGTCTCTGGACATGAGCAAAATGCAGACAAACTTTTGGTCAAGCCATAACACAGTCTGGAGTCCAATAGCCACTGTAGTCCTTCTTTCCAGCAGAAAACTCCTGAACCTGGTTTTTACTGGAAAGATTTCTATCAGCTTTCTGGTCTCTGAGCACTGATCAGAATCTCTCATACAGAGAAGCCTAAGGCATTCCAGTGCTACTCTTTCAGGTGACATCTCAGAACATTTCCAAACTCTTCCCACAAGCCTTTCTGAAAGGTTCTTGAACCACATGGTCAGGTACAGTCTCAGTAAGGATTCTATTTCTCTGGCACCATATTCTGTGTTAGGTTCTTTTTCCTTGTTGCTGAGATAAAATACCTGACATCCAAAGTTAAGGAAAGAAAGGTTTATTCAGATCAAAGTTTATAGAGGCTTCAGTCCATAATCAGCTGGCCTTAAGGCAGGGTGATGTGGCAGAAGGGCAACAGTTCATGGTGGAGAAAAATAGCCAAAACAATAAGAGCAAAAAGAGATGAGTGTGGGAGAAGACTCTTTCTGTGCCTTATATGCAGTATACTCACACTAGTGTGAGTGTAGCATTCATATCCATAATCCCAGTATTAGACAATTTAATTAATTTAAATTCCAAACTCTAGATTCAGCTGCCTCTGAAAAGTACTCTCCCCCATGACTGCATGGGGCTTTGGAGGCATATCCAGACACAAACCATAATGTACAGTATACATTTTGATCTTTATTTAAATTTTCAGTTTCTCCCACTAGAGAAACAAGGTGATATTTACACATGTGTGTTTATTTCACTGATGAATATAGTCTCAAGGTACATCCATTTACCTAGAAATGTTTCAAGTTTATCCTTCTTTATGGCTGAGTAGTACTACATTGTTTTAAAAAATCTTTATCCATTCATCAGTTGATGTGAATTTGAGTCGTTCCCAAGATTTAGCTATTACAAACTGTGCTGCTATAAATATGATTATACAGATATAACTATGGTAGGATGTTTTTAATTCTTTTAGGCAGATTCCAAGAAAAGGAATATCTGGGTCAGATGGAACCTTGGTTCTAGTTTTTAAGGAATCTCCACACTGATTTCACAGTGGTTGCAGCAGTCTTCACTCCTATTAACAGTGGAAAGGGTTCTCTTTCCCCTACAGCCCATTCAGTATTTTTTATTGATTGATTTCTTGATAATAGCCATTCTTTCTGGAACCTCAACATTGTTTTAATTTGTATCTCATGAATGATCAATGTGTTACTTTTCTCATTGCAGGGACAAAACACACAACATGCAAAGTTAAAAGCAGAAAGGTTCATTTAGCTCAAAGTCTAAAGAGGTATCAATCCATAATCAGCTGGCTCCAAGGAAGAGTGGCAAATGGTAGAAGGGCAACAATTCATGACTATTGAAAAGAGCTGAAACAACAAGGGAGAGCAAGCAGACAAGCCTCTTTCTGTCCCTTAAAATGTATGCAGGCTACCTGCCTTAGAGAATGTGTAGCACTCATTAATCTCAGCATTGGACCGTGACTCAGGCACAGACTCTAGATTCAAGCACGTCCAAGAAAGCCCACCCCCTATTACTGCATGAGGCTTTGGGAGAACATCTATACACAGACTATAACAACTAGCAATGTTGAACATTTTTCATATAGTTATTTGCCATTTCAACTTCGTCATCTGTGAAGTGTCTTTTCTCTTCCTTCTTCCCTCCCCCTCCCTAATTTCCCTTCTCATTTGAACAATTCCTTCCTATTTCACAATGTCTGTTATGTACTTTGGTCCTTATTTACACTTTCAGTTTTTCAGATCAGTGAGACAATGAGATATTTACATGTGTCCAATTTATTTTGATTTATACTTCACTCCAAGCTCTCCTTAAGAGTTTGTGTTGAGAAGTCGGCTGTGATTCTGATGTGTTTTCCTTTGTAGGTGATTTGTTTCTTTTCTTCAATAGCTTTTAATATTCTGTTCTTGTGATGAGTTTCAGGAATCTTTATTATTATATGCCTTGATATAGATTTATTTTGGGCATGACTAATTGGAGTCCTATATGCCTTGCTTATGGATATATTGAATTATTTTTCCATGCTTGAGAAGTTTTCTGACATTGCTTCTGTGAACAGTTTTTATATTTGTGCTGTCTCCTGCTTTTTCATTGACTCCAATCCATATTATGTTGTTCTTCTTTGAATCATTTTGTTTAATGGTTGGATTAATTTTTCATGGTCCCTTGCTATTTTTATTTATTTTCATGAAATATTTATTTTCATGATCACGGACCACAATCTGTCTTCTAGATCTATTATTATATCCTCACCTTGATTAACCTGGCTGCATATAGTTTCAATGGAAATTTTAATCTCCTGGATATCAGCATGTATTTGTTTCATGGATTCCATTTTTTCCTGTGTTGAGCATTAATAGTACCCACTATTTTTCTAAACTCTATCTTTTTTATCAGTGTCTTCTCTAGAATCACTGAGCAAGTCCTTCATTTTGATCGTCATTTTTTTTTTTTTTTGTCTTTTCCTTTTTTATCGGTACCAGGGATCGAACTCACGACTGCCTGCTTGCAAGGCAGGTGCTTATGCCGCTGAGCTAAATCCCCAGCCCCCCGTCATTTTTTTTTAATCTGAGAGACTATTTCTGATCTGATTTCCTCTATAGCCTCATTCATCTCTTCTCTTTTTCTAGTACTATTATTTCAGATAATTCAGATGGGTGGCTTCTAATTTCCTTTATCTTGTTTTCTCTTGGTCTTGTCCTGGGTGGACTGGAGGTCTGGAGTTACATTTTGCCTCTATGTCTTATCATTTTCTTCTTTTTATTTTAATTTGTGTTCTATGTTGATGCTTATAAATCGCTCATGGTAGATAGCTTATGACTACTACTGAGGCTTCCATAGGAAATGTCTATTCCTCAGAGATGTCTTTTAGGTGTAGGTGGCTCTTGGCCTTTGTTTTTGTCTCAAGATCTCACCTTCCTAATTTACTGAGGATGAGAAATTTCTATTTGGATCCACACCCAGTCCTTTTTGATACTGGACTATGGTGGTGACTATGATCCCAGACAATCTGAGTGCTGTCATACAAGGGAGAACAACTGATTACAATAGGTATGACACCCTGGTTAAAGTAATCAGCAATAAAAAACACAGTAGCATCAAGAACAAGCTAGTAATTGATAAATTATGCTATTAATTTGGTACCTTTAACCTTATGAGCGAGATCTATAGTTATTTAACAAAATCCAATATAAACCAGGAACTTTTATACTGTGAGTTTTCCTGTAGAGTAATTTTACCCTGTGGAAGGAAATTAAACAGTGAGAGAGGAAAAGAATATAGTAGGAGCAAGGCTAAAGGACAAAAGACAGTCATTCAAGCCAAGCTTGGGAATCTGAAGAAGAGGACAGGAGAGAAAAAATGAAGGAGAAAGCAAATAAATATTGAAGAAAACCAGAAAAGTTAGAGACAATGTTCAATCACATGAATATATCAAAAAAAACCAAGAAAGTCAGTTGAGGAGAGAGAAAAAAGCTGAACATAACAAATACAAGTAAAAACATAAAACACCACCAAAAAACCCCACATGAAATTCCTCTGATCCCTTCAGTTTTGTGGTAGTGTCCAAGTCAACCCCAAATCTGTATTCTGTAACCCTGCCAAGTAGGGTTAGTGCTGTGTCTAAGGCTGATCTTGATCTCTGGATGTGAAGACTGGGGCCAGCCTTCACCCAGCAGCTTTCTGGATATCCCTTGGCTGCCCACCCATGTCTCCTTACTCTGTTTGGGTTTGTGTCACTCTCTCAGTTGTTTTGGCATTCTCTGACAGAGAAAGACCAAGGCTGCTCCCAGTCCTGTGTACAGCCAGTCCTTCCTGGTCCTTGTACAGCCTTCTCTGTTCTACTCCTCTGTGTCTCTTTTCTCTCATGCTGCTGGGAGCAGGTAGGGGAAGTGTTGTTAGCCAATTCACTGTCTCTGCTCTCTCCTGTTTTGTGCTGTTGGGAGTAGGATAAAAGGAGTGCTGACTTTCCACTTGTTGTCAGGTTGCAGTTAACGGTTCTTAAATCAGATGCCACTGGGAGCAGAGTACAAGGGGTAGTGCTCTTCCACTCACTACCTTTGCCTTGCCACTGCAGTCCTAACCTTGTTGTAGCTATAAGTTTCAGTTAGCCACTGTTGTGTTGCAGACAAGAAAAAAAAGGGAAATAAAAATACCTGGCAGCCCATGAAGGTAGAATGGTGAACATATTCCTGGTCACTCTCTGTGTTTGCTGGCAAAATTTGACATCCAATAGCAGCATCCTCTGTTTGGATGAAGGCAAAAGAAGTGAGCAGCCTTTCATCCCAAATTTATCCTGTTTGTCACTTTATGACCTTGGCAATATGTTTTATTGCTGTTACCATTGAGATGCAGAATCTGTTTCCCAGACCAACTTGTGGGCTGGCCTTATTTGCTATAGCCCATACAAAGTTCTATGAAACATATTAGTTTGGTATCTGAGCTAGAACTTGAATATGTATCTTCATTCTTTCAGAACTCTGCTGTGTCTATGAGTACAAGCCTGTATTATCCCACCAGTGTGTGGGATCACACACATCAAGGGAGGATAAAATAAAGTGCCCTGTTTATAGCCAGTGCACCCTCTGAAACTGAGCCACCTTGTTAACCATCAGTTAAACAAGGAGCCCAACTGAGTCCAGCCGAAATTGCTGATCAGCTTATTCATAAGGCAATAAATTTTGGGAGGGATTATTAGCCAGTAATACAGTAGTACTAGTTTGTCCAAGGTGCCAGGATTCAAGGACATATAGATTGCATATTATCTGCCAAATACTAAGTGGCATATAGGTACAGATTTTCTTTTTCCTTAATTTAAATTTGGGTGTCTTGTTAGATGGTGCTGAGTTTAGACAGAAATATATGTAGAGGGAAGGAAAATAAGACATTCATGACATGATAGTTTGGCTCAAGGCCGAATGACAAAATAAGAAGTTTGTAAACTCTGGAAGTCAAGGCTGTAGACAGATCTCAAGGCTTCCTCCTCCTGGGCTCATCTTACTTTCTTAGCCATTTGTACCCAGCAACAGATGGGAGGCAGTGGTATTCCCCTGCTGTCTCCCAGGGCCTTGTCTCTGCCCCTTCTTAGACCTGAGCAGATATGTATATTGATAGGAAATGGGTAATCCTCTCCCTTGGCATAAAAGGGAGGGGCTCAGGCCCTTGACCTTGCAGAGATCAGGGGAGACATAGCTCTTCAAGATGGAAAGTGTGAGATGTGCTAGAGGCTTAAAATAGGATATACAGAGGCTGCCTAAAAAAATGTGTACACAATTCAGAAGAAAAACTTGCATACATATATTAATACTAAATTTATTGAGCCATCATAAGATTAATACAAGTTACCTTTGACCTCTACAATTAAAATAGGTGCTTAAAGTGGTGTCCATCAGCTTCTAGACATTTATCAGTATGGCAAACTGCTGAAGTGTGTACCTATTTTTTGGCAGACTCTATACACTATATATAGTTAATAATTTTATATTGATCCATATAATAATATTTTGGGTGTATTTCACTAAGTTACTACAAAAATTTCACCTGTTTTTAATATTTTAAATGTGACTTTAAAGTTACAACTATGTTTTACATTTTATTTTTACTGGACACCACTGCCTTAGGGGGTTGCCTGTCATTTAAAAGTTCAGGCTGCCTCTTCAACAGATCAGAGACAGAAAAGTTCACTGAATTTAAAAATAATTGTCATTATATCTTACCATAATCAACAGTCAAAAATTTATTAATATAGTCAACAATGCTCAAATATATTATCCATAAATTTACATCTTATATGCAAAGTTAAATGCAAAATCCCATTGGTGAACTAGATTCCCTCACTTGCAGGAAGTTCTGCCTTACAACTAGGGCAGCCAGGGGCTCCGGATTCAATCTTCAGCACCAGAAGAAAAATAAAAACCTGGGCCTCCAAACCTGTCATCCTGGATTCAATCCACCGAGGGGGTTGGTGTCGCCTACTTTTCCTCAGGACGAGGGGGTGGGGCCTGAAGACTGACCAATCAGAGGTGAGGCCTGCCCAATCAGGCACACAGCCAGAGCGGATGGGGCGGGCTTTTACAGTCTCGCGCGTCTTTGTGTGGAGCCCGCCAATCTTGGGATCGGTGTCCTCGCTCTTTCTGTTCCGCTCCTGTGTTCTGAGCGTCCCAGGTGTGCCTGCAGCAGCCTTTGTCGTCCTGTTATTTGCAGGGGTAGGAGAGTCACAGGGAGGACGCCGGCGACTCCGGAATGGTGAGCTTGCGATTCAGAAACCCGGGACGGGGAGGGCGGCTGCTTGGAACCGCGGAAACTGTCTGCGGGACCGGGCCTCCTCGAGTCTGCAAATCCCATTCTGCTCTGGACAGTTCGGCCTTCTTGTACTCGGCTGCGAACACCTGTGGCCTTGTCCCCTCCCTGCGCAGTGATTTCTCTGGACAACTCAGTTTTGGCGTCCTTGGCTGCGGGCGACATCCATGCCCCTTGTCCTCTCACTGCGCGGTGACTTCTGCCTTCGCTGGAGGTCGCCCTGTTCCGCGTCCCTTCCTAAGTCGCGTGGTGCGGATCGTGAAAATCCTTGGGAGAATCCCTACTCCGGATGGGGTTCCTGCGTTAAAAGAGCCGTGGTGCTTAGGGTTTACAGTTCTTCCTTCGTCCCCAAAGGATACGCGTTTTCACTGGCGCTTTCTAAATGTGTGGGAAACAAGGTTTCAAACCCAGAACTCTGTTCCTATAGCTCTTTCTAGGTCTGAGCAAAAATTCCAGCTCCCTGACCAAATTCTTAAAGGCCAATTTCCACTTTCCTCAGCATTATCAATTACTTGTTTCCCATGCTACATTTCTTTTCTTTTTTTGTACCAGGGGTCCAACTCAGGACCATGCACTTATGCCGGTGAGCTAAATCCCCGGCCTCTATGCTACATTTCAAAACACAGTATATTTTTATTTTGTTCTCCAAGTATTGGCAGGTGCTTTTTAAGACATTTATTTTCTGTGAACATTCCAGACAAGCGAAAAGTAGAAGGGGATCACTACCCCTTGTAAAAAATTTGTGTCTGTGTCTCTCCTTTTGTCCAGTGTGTTTTGGTTAAGTGTCCCTCTTGGCGACTTTATGGGTATCCTGCCCACTGCCTACCCTTCCATCTTTCCCTGAATCTGGATTTCAGAACTGCCTACACTGCTGTGTCCCTGGTCTTTTGGGGCGTGTCCAAAAGTCATATCAGTCCCTAGACCTCTCCAGCCAGATATCCTGAGGTATGGGTGGAGCCTCTGGAGAACTGCGGGATGCCCTGAAACTAGGAGGAATGTGGTACACCCTCTTGTTTAAAAAAAAAACCCGGCTCTTTAGCTGTTTTCATATCTTCACTACTGTTAAGTGAACTGAAAGTGTATTCAGCTCTTCAACATTCAGATTTCAATTCATTTGGCTACCTCCCTTTGTTTAGGCTTACTGGATCCTGTGGTAGTTCTAGTTTTAGTTTTTTTTTTTTTTGTTTGTTTTTGGTACTGGGGATGAGCTCATGACCTTGCACTTGACAGGCTGGCACTTAGGCCTGAGCTAAATCCCCAGCCCCTAGTTTTAATTTTTTGAACAATCTTTACATTACTAACTTTAAATTCACACCATATTTTTTGGAATACCTGGTATTTTTCAGTTTTTTGATAATGACCATTGTAACAGCTCTACTCAGGCTGCAGGAGGTCTGCTATTTGCTGTATTGTATCCATCATACAAATTAGTTAGAATCCAGATCATTGAGCCAAGGAAGGGTAAACTGTTATCCTCTTTTGGGAATAAATGGGGATCTGTGCTTTTTAATCCCTTCTCTTCATTTACTGCTAGGGCTTGCAGCTCATGAAAGAGGTTGCACACCCATTAAAAACCACTTACTTGTGATGCAGGGAGATTTACACACATCGAGTCCCCTGTGCTTCCAGAGCTTGCAAGTTTAGGATGCAATCCCTCACATGAAAGATGTTAAAGTTGTTCCACTCAGTGCATGGACAGACTCTTCCTACGGCGAAGTGATATGTGGCAAGTTGTCCTTGGGATGGGCTGCGGGAGCAGAATTGGGAAGTACTGAGCTCACCCTCAAGGGAAAGTTTTTAGTTTGCTAATTGTCTGAGGAGGACTCAATAGAAGCTCAGCTGTCAACAACCAATTTATACAGTGTGCTGGAAAATCCTTTCTAGGTAGAAATTGATCTGTTGAGTTTTAACCCCTTCTCTGCCCTAACACAGGATGTGAAGCATGTAGAAGTACTTGTCTGAACATAGAAAATAACCACTTGTTCTTTGGTCTTAAGACTTCTGTATGGCTTGTGGTCATGCTCCCTCTGCATTTGGTGAGGTGAGATACAAACCACAGGGAACTTTATAATTAGGGTGCTACATGTGTCCTTCAGGGTAATGTTGAGTGTTGTGGATTCTTTCCCAATTAAATAGTACATTGTTTCAGGCCGGATTCATGCCTAAGTGTGCTTTTGTTTTCCCTACTCATTTGATGTGCTTGTTTTTTTCAGTTGCCTGGTATGTAGAAGTCTATTGCTTCATCTGTGACACTCAGGGACATGATGTATGAGATGTTTATTCAGTGTGTCTATAGATGGACAAGTCCTCCTATTCCCCTACATTTCCAATATTATCCCTTTTTTAATAATTGCTTTTCAGGGGTCAGTGGTCCTGGGGTCTGAACCGAGGGACTTGTACTTTGTGGGCACATATTCTGCCACTGAGCTATGCATCTCAGACCCAACATCTGCCTTTTCATTGTGTTTAATGCATTCACATTTGGAGTCATTCTGATATGGCTGGATATATACTGGGCCTTTCTGTTGCTTTTAACAATGCAAATACTTCCTACATCTGTATGAATTAATCTACAGATGGTGTTTATATTGTGATCTCTTGATTTTTATTGTTGAAATAAACTTACACATGGGGCAGCAATGATAGCTGCCCCTATTGCTTTTAAAATTCAGATTTTTTTTTTGCTAATTTTGTAGATATTTAACCTATCAGTTGCACTTAAGAATTTTTGGTTTTTTTTAGGGCTGGGGATTTAGCTCAGTGGCATAAGTGCCTGCCTGGCAAGCACGAGGTCATGAGTTCGATCCCCAGTACTGCAAGGAAAAGAAAAAAAAAAGAGGAATTTTTGGTTTTTGCTTCCTTTCTTTGAAACATGTTGAAATTTTGATAGGACTATATAGATTAATTTTGGGAGGGAGGAATGCTCATCTTTCTAATAATGAGTTTTATCTATACATATGATGTGTATAGTCTAATCTTCATGATTCTCTAAGTTTTTTCATACGTTTTACATATTTCCTTTGTAAAATGTATAAATGTAAAATACTTCATGTATATGGCATCTATATAAAAGTTACTTGGCATTTTCTCCTGTTGGTTGGACATAAAAGAAAGTGCGTCAAACATTATTTGTCTGTTCTTGAGTGTGCCTCCTCTTACTTCTAGTCTCTGAGTTTCAGTACTTTGGACCAGTGCTGCTCTATCCTCATGTGTTACTATGGTATACATGTGCAGAGGTTCTGTAAGTGTGTGTCTGGGTTAGAGGAGTAGCATGTCACTGCAGCAGCCAGTTTCTCAAGGTGGGTAACAATTTATAATAGATCATAAGAGTTTAATTGTTTCATATTTTGATCAATATTGGTTTTTGCCTGTCTTACATGATTTTCTTATACATTTCTCTAATTTCTGATGAGACTGAGCTTTGTTAATGGTTATTGAACACATACCTCCTATTATGAAGTGGCTGTGCAAGTTTCTTACTTCTCCTCAAGTGTCTGTCTTCCATTTTTATTAAAGGTGTTTGGTCATATGTTGAGGAAATTAGTTTTTCAACTCATTACCGATTTCATTTTTGATGAGTAGAATTTTTATTTCATGTCTAATTTATGAATATTATAATTTTAATATTGTGTTGTGTGACTTTAAAAAGAATTTCCTATAATAACTTAGAATGTTATATAATTTGCCTTTATGTTTAGATATTTTACCTCTGAAAGTGATTTGTTAGGATATGAGAAAGGGTACAATAGCATTTTTTGACAGATACCAGATTATCCAGCAGCTTTCATTGGAATATGTATCTTTTTTTCTGCAGTCTCTGTTACTTATGTATCTGAAACGTGGTTCTTTTTCAAGGGTTCCATTTTTAGTTCCACACTTGTATATATTCATCTCATTGTGAAGTCTGCATTGATTACAATAGTTTTGTAGCATACAACCAGGTACTGTATAATGACATTTTGGTCATTGATAGACTTCATGTACAGTGGTGGTTATAACATATAACATAGGTATGGCGTGGTATGTTCATGTAAATTTTATTACATTTTTCTAAACTATTACTGACGATTAGCTAATAAATTCTTAATGTCTTTATTTTACCTGTTTGAGAGTGTGTGTTTCCTTTTTAACCGCAGCTGAGCTAAATACCCAGCCCCCCTACTGCCCTTTTATCATCTTTTCTGCTTTTTAAAATTTCATTAGTACATATTTGCAATGCATAATGATTCATTCATTGTGGGGAATAGGTATACATAACATATCAGTTTTCTGCTCTTTTCTACCATTTTTTATTTAATTAATTTTATTCAGAAAAACATCAAAATTTTGTAAGTGAATGAATTTTCACAAAAGGAATACCATGTAACTAACTACTGGCTACATCAAGAATGGAAACATCAGTGATGGCCCAGAATATTCCTTCATGCTTTTTATCATGTAGTATTCCCTCCATTTTTCCTAGTGATAACTACAATTTTTCTGTTTCAAATGCTACTATTGTATTAGTATTCTTTTAGATTGTTTTGGTGCATTCTGTCTACATAGGAGTAGAATTGATGGTTCACGGCATTTAATTAAATGTGGCCTACTAAAACACCTTCCAAAGTGACTACCAAATTAGACTCAGCCAATAGTAGTTTGACAATTCCAGTCACTTGACATTTGTATGATTCTTATTCTGTTGTTATTTTTGTTGCTGTTGTTGTTTTTTTAAATGTTAGATTGTTGTTAACCTTTCTGATCAGAATGTAACAATATTTGCTGGTTTTAAATTTAATTGTAATTAATATTGACTATATATAATCATTTGACATTTGATTGTCTATTGGCAAAGTGTATGTTGAGATCTTTCTTGGTTGTTCTGTTTTTCTCTTGGGATACCTGAGTTTTCCACAGAAAACATGTAATACTTCATATAGTTTCCTGTACACGTAAATTTCTAGAAA